ACATACAAAAATCTATCATGTATTTCTATTGTGCACACAGCTTAACTGAGATCATTTGTATTTATTGCTGTTTATTTGGAAAAGTGTATGGACATTGATTATGATGTTTAAAACTTTAAAAACAGCAAAAGTTGGTGAAATTTTGCTATTTTCCTCCCAAATACAAATGTATCCCTGTCTGGCCATGTTACCACACAACAATGAAGAGTAGGAATGGGTATCTCCTGCTTAATCATTTCCCTTCCTTGAACCAAAAGATAGCCATACTTTTTCTTCTGCTTTCAAAACTCCTTGACTCAGTCATTTGGGAACTGCCTTCATATCATTCTGTTAAAATGCCCGGACCTCAGTAACCCATGCCTCACCAGTCAATTGGACTGTTGCAATATGCTCTATTTGAGATTGTCCTTGGAGATCATGTAGCCCAAACTGTGTAACATTGCACCTACATTAAAGTTGCTGCACTGGTCAATAGTCTTCTGGATCTAATTCAAGAGCAAAAGATTACCTTCTCAACCCTATGGGCAGTATTTTTCTCAATCTTGGGTCCTCTACAGAGGAAGAGTTTGAGGGTTCTGTATAATATCTAAGCTGTTTCTAGCACAAGACATAGCTTTGATGTTGTTCCGGACATCTGTTGGAACCACTTTCCCAAGTTAGGAATCACAACCCCATATGCTCCTACCATCACTGGGACCACTTTGGGCTTTACTTTCCACATTCTATCTAGTTCCTCTTTCAGGTCTGGTACTTCTCCAGCTTCTCATACAGAACATTCCTGTCTCTTGACACCACTACAGCTATAACTACTGCTGTCTTCTGGTCCTTGTCTACTATCATTATGTCTAGTTGATTGGTCATTATCTACCTCCCCATCTGGATCTGGAAATCCCACAGGATCTTAGCCTTGTTACCTTCCACAACCTTCTATGGAATCTCCCATCTGGACTTGGGAGGATCTAGCCTATGCACTTGCAGATGTTCATTATGCCAGCTATTTGGCTGTGCCGTTCAATGTATCCTATTCCTGCCTGCATCATGCACCACAACACTATGTCTTGGATTGTCATGCCCCTGGTGGAGACTGACTCTGAGGAAGAGGATGAACAGCCAACAGGGAGTTGGGAGTGTGGCTCCAGAGGTGGTGGACAAGGCTGGGGAAGGGCAGAGGCCGGCTGAGCAATCAGAGGAGGATCCAGGCTCATCCCCTGTCCATCCTAGAGCACGCAGGGAGGAGAGGATTAGGGAAAAGCGAGGTCTACTCAGGAGGAGATTACCATGATCCTCCTCGTGGCTTGCAGCTGGGAGCTATGATATAAGTTTGTAAACTGCGTAGTCAGAATTGCTGGAGTCAAAGTTTAGTATTTTCTTTGAAAGAGGTTTATCTTTGCTGGCGTTCTTCCCATGGACTCTCCTCGGTTATCTTCCTGGAATGTATGATTAATTATTTTGGCTTGCTTTGGAACTGTCGTCAATGCGGTTTGTTTTTGGTTTCCTTTTGCCTCATTATTTAGTTTTGTGACTTTAAACTATGCCTAATAAAACAGTGAAGTTGAAGGCATTACCGGACTTTGTTATGGGTTTGAGGTTATTTTGAGAGACTCCGGGTCATCACATGAACTGTCTCTGAAGCTACTTTGCATTGTCTGTATCTCAGATCCTGTCTAGTGTGGTAGATCCCTATTTCTATGGGATCGGTGCTTAGTGACTGTTATTGTGTTCTTGTGCTGCTTAGTACCTCAGTGCTACCTTTAGTCCAGCCCTTTGTAGTGACTAGTAGATTTCCCCATTTCTTCCACATCAGCTGTTGATGCTATATCCCATGCAGATCTTGCCTTGCCATGGCACTCTCTCAATTTGATCTTCCTGCCATATCTGCTGCTGTCTCAGGCATTCCCTTAACAGCTCATCTTTGGGTGCCATCTCACGTATACATCCTGGATGCTCCAGGTTTCATCCAGAACAGTAGTTTAACACTCACCAGACCCAGTTGGTGTAGTCTCTGCATGTTGGACTTGGAGTAAAAACCTCTGTATATTTTGAGATGCTTCCGGGTCTTCACATCAGCAGCTTCCGGGTCTTCCTTTGGTCAACTCACTATACTAACAGAGTATCTAATTCCTGACAAGTGGTGATGGCATGAATTTTGTTCTCCAATTCTGATGTTTCGTCAAGATCTGTTTGGTAATACTAGGACATTGCTTTGTTTCTTGCCTCCTCACTGTGGTTCCCATGTGACTGTGGGATACCACAAAGATAAATTTTCCCCATAGCAATCACTGAATATTATTTTTTCAAGTCTCCCAACAGTGCACTAATTACCACTGTAACTAAGTTCATCTATCTGGCTTCAGGTTGTCCTCTTTTCTTTGTCCTCTTCTCTTTCCTTCCTCCTTTTCCAACTTTAAAGCCTTCTCCAGAGATACATCTGAGTATTAACTAGCATTTAATTTAGAACCTCAGTAATTATATTTTATTAATTCTCTATTGCTAACATATTGTTTCTTTCTAACTCTCTTTTGTTCACTTTTTAGTTATCTTAAGGACTTCACTTAATGTCTGTGTATTTAAATTTTATGCACATTATGCTTATATTTCACCTCTTCTTTGGTCCTTAATTTTCGTGGTCCTTTATAATTTTATATTTGTATAAGACATTGGTCAATGATCATAATAAACTTGAACTGGCTTTATTTTTTGGTTATCTTTTCTTTTTGTTACTAATTTGAATTTATTAGTTTTTCTTTTTGTTCAATGTTATATATCACATAGTCCTTCGGAATTGAGATAGTTTACATAAAGACTGTAAAATAAATAATTCATACATATTAATTTTCATTTGCTATAGATATATCTATGACTTTCTTCCTTGTGTTATCCTCAAAAGTAGTATACAAACATAACAGATAATAAATTATATTATTCAAATGCTACATTACAACTTTTTCTAGATTTCCAAGTGGTGATAGGTCAAGGAATCACAATTATGGATAATGTACCTGCACCAATCAGATCAAAGGATAGTTATTTGTTTGTTGGTTATAGCATTTTTAAACAGTTGAAATATATTCTGATGCAACAGAAGTCAAGCTAATAACTGGTGCATAATACTATGGACCTCTTGAAATAATTGGTTTTTATTATTAAACTGATAGTTCATTAGATGAAATTTTAAGATATTGATTCTTTAAAGCTCTAAATGACCTTGGTCTAAGTTGTCCTGGCATATAATTATCTCCACACAACAGTCAATAGATGAATCTTTCTTCAAAAAGTCCTGATTCATGCCGAACAAATGGAAGAAGGTATTCTGTATCACTTCCCAACGTACAGAATGTTCTCTCTTCAGAATTGACTTGCTTCATCTCATCTTCAAGGAGACGTCAAGTTCAGAAAGAATCTTTGAAATGATTGATTCAATTTTTTATGCATACGTTTTTAATCTGGATTTTAACAGTTTATTTATTTATTACATTTATTGGCCATCCATCTTAGAAATCATGTGCACATACAGTGTTGTAATAAAGGACAAGAAATGGTAAAAGTAAAATAAACAAACAATGAAAAATAGGAAACAGAAAGTATTAGAAATGAATTCTCAAAATTAATGGACTATTAAAATGAGTAGTTTAATATCTTCATTGTTTTTTATTGTTTATTGTTTTTTCTTTTCTTTTCTTTTCATTTTGTTTTTTTCTTTTTCTTTTGTTTATCTTAATTTTTTACTTTAATTTGTGCAGTACAGATTTTTATTTTAATTCATATCATTTTATAATTTTATTATGTTAACATATATTTGCTACAATTATTATTAAGAAATTTAATATATAAAAATAGATTTTATATATGTGTGTGTGTGTGTGTGTGTGTGCATTTAACATTTAATAAAAATCATTAGAAAACAGAATGAATATAAAATAGAAGCGATATAAAAGACTTAGTGAAATTTCATTAGAAACTGATTTGAGCATGTGAATGGCATTGGTTAGTCCCTTCCTAATTGTAAACCTGTTCTAAATTGTCCTTGAAAAGAAGGTATGCTACTGAAAATTGAAATCAACAGCAGTTAATACATTAAAAAGACCTAACATTGAAGATGTCTTCACTGGGAAAATTTACATATCAAATAATAAAAGCAAGATGATTTGCATAGAAAAGGTCCTCAGCCAATTTATGTTAACCACCACAAAAATTACAGACAGATACATACATATAGAAGCTTTATGCATGCAGAGAGTATTTGCAGACATAAATAGTCATAAATATTTTATGGATAAAAAGAAATACAAAGTGCAACATATTTTTACTGATCCATACTTAGAAAATTATTGGTTCACAAAGAAGCCATTGAAAAACGGGTTTTAATTTGTTCATAAATTACTTGATCTTAGAAATAAATCTATGACATTTCAAAGCATGTGTTTTATATGGTTGTTCAAAAGTAACTAAACCAGGAAAACAGTCATTAAAATGGCAATTGCTATTCAAACTCAGGAAATGTACAGTAATGAGCTTTGAACCAACACAGATAGTTTCACATATAGACTAATGGGAATCAATCTGTGCATGGATCTGTGTTCAATGAAAACATTAACTCGGTGAATGAATGCTGAAAAATGAGCATGATTCCCATATTAGAATTATTAGAAAAGAAACAGAAAGTATTGTCATTATAGCAATATATTTAACATAAATCTTTACAATAACCATACTTAAAATACAGCCCTACAGATCTGGTCAACAAAGGATTTTGTAGATCTTTGACAAGTCAAATTAAGCCTTTACATCATATGATGAAAGACATAATTTCTTTCTACAAGATATATTTCCCCCATCTTATTATATAGAATGTGGGATCATACAAATTGATTGAGTGGTAGGAGGTTTAAAATAGTATTTAATATGAAATTGCTATATGTTAATTCCAACATCCAATGTAACACCTCTCTAAAAATCACAAATAGAAACTGAGGAAACCAGAGGAAACACAGATAAATTACCTTCTTTTTTCTTCTTTGCTTCTTCTTCGCTTCTCTCTTTTGCTTTTAATGCTTCATCAGCTTTAGCTAAAAATAATGTATTGACATGATGATTAGTTCTATAATAAACAGATCTGGAAAATGTAATATACTCAGAAACATAGTCATTTGAATCTTTGATGGAAAGACCTGCCTTTTTAAACTTTTATAAATTTAGCATAACATTGTTATAACTGAATCTCAGATACAGAATGAAATTTTTATTGTATTTTTTTATATAAATGACTCTTTTTAAATGTGAATTCATATTCCCAATGTTTTTCCCAAGGACATCCATCCAAAAAGCATCTGCCTTTGGAACTAAAAGTAAATGTAATTCCAGAATGATTCTTCAAAGACAGGGCAAAACTTAATCCTTCCAAATAGGCCTGAGCCTTCTAAAATGTAATTATAAGGAAAGGAAAAAAGAAAAGTGCTGGATACCAAGAAAACTCAGTGAATCCCTCACTTTCATAGCTTGTAAGTCCCTGAAGAAGTTGAAGTAATTGATGTTTCTAGATTAATGGGACAACAAATCTCCCAATCTTTGTTATTTTGTCTAAACAAAATATCTTAGCTATTCATGCATCTGTGTAATAATATTTTTTTATGAAAAACGAACAGCTTCAGAAAAAATATAGCACCCAAACCATTTTTCAAGCCATATGCAGACTTCAGCACATACTACTTGAGAGTATTCCAGACTAAGTTTCCATTACCAGAGCATGGTTGTCTAACACAAAGAAACTCTAAAAGCTATATATGTTTGATATACAGTATTATCCAAATGGGATATAATCTGAAAATGAGAGTGAATGGATGGAACACACCAAATTTCCTAGAATGCATTGCAGATGTTTTCAAGACTGATCACAAGATAACTCTGACTTAAGTCCGGATCTATCGATCACTGAATTCAATATCTTTCTTCCTTCCCTCCCTAATATGTACAGGAGACTTATTCAAGGCCATACAAAATTTATGCCTTTTGCAAATCAGAAGCTCCTTGCAGAGGAAGCCTTCTCTTTAATTCCTTTAAATGCTGGAAACTCCCAATGAAGAGAGGTAAATTTAGTCATCTTTCCATTACTTTTTTTCTAAATACAGTAGTAAAAAAGACATTTAGTGAGAAAGAAGTTAGTTTAAAAGTAATTTTTTTATTGAGTTGAGTGGGTATTTTTTAAATTCATTTAAATGGTTAAAGTAATACTTGAAATAATGCTAGATCAATTTGTATGTGGATACATTATTCTACCCCATTGCCTTGCTAGACAACAGAAAGGAATATAAAGGGCTGTCTAGAATCTCCCAAAACACAGTGTTGCATAGAAGGTACTGTATGAAGAATGGTATGGTCAGCGTGTAATTGGACTATAGGATGAAATAAATTCTCTATACAGAGGCAGAATATCATTTCATGGAAAAGACCCTCTTTTTCTTTTTCAGTGCAAACTATAAAGTTGTATTTAATTCATGTTATGACAGCACTTTTTAAAGCAGCATCTTCTTTTAGAAATATCTCCTCTTATTACTTAATTAAGTACAAGTTGCTCAACTGCAAGGATTTTAAACACTTTACTACAGATGTTAAAGAAGATTAAAAATACACAGCACAGTAACAAGGGACTATCAATATACTCTGTAAATTAATTAAATTTCTGTTCTAGCACATCATTTATTCTGAAGCATTAATGTCTCAAAGGGGCCATTCTCTTTTATTGCTATCTCACTGCATGATGAGTGAACTTAGAGAATAATCTCTAATAGCATTATAGTTGATGAAATATTAAGTTTTTTAAAATATTGCTTTGTCAAAAGATAGAGAAGCATAATGTAGGTAGTTATATTCTAGAGCAGCACTTACTATGTAATAAATCCATTAAAGAGTAACAGTTTCAAATACTAGTCTTCTATACCAACATATTTGTTATATGAATATTCAATTGATTTAGTAAGCATGAAAGGCACAAATGCCACATGACCCACAAATTTAAAATCTAATATCTCTTTTCAGTTGGTATCTATGCCTCCTTAAAATACACAGCTTAAATACTGATGTTCTGAAATGACAGCACCAATTACAGAGACATCTGTTTCCATTTACAAGCTTTTAGATACACTTAGAATACATTTTAAATCATGAAATATTAAAACTTTTCTGCCTGCGATCTCTTTACAAGAATGTACTAAATTAGATAATAAAACAAACCACTGGTAACTATAAAGATTTTTACTTCATTCACACTAGTACCAAGGTAAGGATAATAGAAATTACATTTAAATTTAATTTTGGTTATATGTGTAATTGTAGCTATATCCCTTGAGTCATGGAAATGCTCAGCTCATGTTACTTTCAAATTACCTTCTCAGATTCACATTCCACTCTTTATAACTATCTTCAATATGTATTAGTAAAGCTCATTAGAATGAAATTTAATAATGCAAACATTAGGAGGGTTTCAAGATCCTCCATTATCAACACAAGATGGATTGCTTATATATAGCTCTTGGGCCAACCAGGCAAAATTTAGATTAAATAAACTAGCAGGCTTAAATTTGATTTATTTATTCCACCATGCCAGTGCGTTCTTCATAACTGATGTTTTCTGCATAGGAAGAGTTTATTGGATTAAAAAAAAGCAAGCTCATGAGTAAAAATGCCATCTCATAGTTAGAAATGCATTTTTATGCATTGCAGAACTTATACTGCCAATCTTTTCTCAGTACGGTATTATTTTTAATTATTTTATTTTCCATTCCTGTTGATTACTTTGAATACGGCAGCATCCTAAAAATCTGTCTGTCTGTCTACATATCATTCAGATACTCAAAGCAGAATGCTCTAATTTTTCCCATAACGGCTGTGGGAGACTATTGGAACCAGACGACGGGAGGAGGAGGAGGAGGAGGAGGATTGTTCAATGAAAGTGAGAAGAGAGCAAATCCATAGGCAATGGCCACTGGAAAGAACCATTTCAGAGACTCTGTCTATAAATCTGTCTGATAACTTATTTCTATACCTTTCAGGATTATGTTTTTACCATGATTAGCATTACAGATGTCTTTCTGAAATCCTTGTGGTTGTTAATTTACCATAGAACATGGCATTATGTATGAGGTAAACTGGGCTAAGAGGAAGGAACTGGTCCAAAGTAATCCACTTCATCCATGACACTTCCATGGATGAAGGTAGATGAGAAACTGGTCTTTCTTTCAATCCAACATCTAAACTATTACATCACATTAATATGATCCCAAAACTGAAATGTTTTACTTAACCCATTTGGAAAGTTACATTCTAAAATCATTCAGAATTCTTTATAAGTAACTTTAAAAAATAGAAGCCAGTTGGGGAAAGGCACCAGGCTACAAACTGAGACTAAGTTCCATTATAGGCACAAAGCCAGCCAGTCTCTTATATTCCAAGAGTATATGGATGGTGCATACTATTTTCATTTTAAAAAGTCCTCTAATTGGCTATGTTCCACACAACAATCCTGTGAATAACCACCTCTTAGCAACTTTTATTCAAAAGCAACTGGCAACTTTGGTCCAAAAAGAGTTGGATTATCCCCATGAGAACTATTGAAACATATAGTTTGATATTAATTTGGATTGTTAAGCTTCATTTAGACATGAGATTTGCTGAATGAGTGCTGGGCCTTCATGCCTTTAATGATAAGCAACATTATGCAAACTGCTGAAAAGGAGTAAGATATAGACAGAGGAATTAAAAGCGTAAGAAAAAGAAGCATAATGTACATTTCTGTGCAAATTTTTTTTCATTTCTATCACATTCTTTTATTTTTAAAATTTCTTTCCTTTCTTCCCGAAGATCTCACCCAGTCATGACTTTCTCAGTCTTCGCCTTTCTCTTAAGCTTTCACTCCTCTATTATATATTTATTTTGTAATTCAGTCCTCATTTATTCATTCTCTGTGACCAAGTCACATTTAGCTAATATTCATGTTTCTTCTGCCATATCTGTCTCTTCCATACCACAAACTGGACAGAAGCAGAGCCATTTTTCTTCTTTTAGCAAACATTCATTCCTTGGAACAGACCATATATTACTTACTATCTTTCTATCAGTAAAAACACATCTTAGCATTTTCCCAACAGTTTCCCAATCTTTAGTAAACATTTCACCAAGGTAGAAAAGTTCATTTTCTTGCCCTTTTTTCATCATTTATGTAGAAATTATTAATCAAGAAGAAAAAAATGAAATGGCAGTTCCTTGAAATAAATTATATTCCCCACACTGTGTATTTCCAGCTTCTTTTCCAGCTACAATGTAGCTGCCAGTGTAACCTGTCATATGGGCTACAGAACTGTCACCAAAACTTGGTATTTAAGGATAGGGACTATAGGAAATAATAGAGTGGAGTCAAGTGGAGGCTATGCATATCAAAGCTTAAAGTCATTAATTTTGAAAAGAAAGCCCTCTTTTATACAATCTATATTCTTTTTTTGTTTATCTATGTAGAAAATCAGAGCACAGTGGCATCTGAAAAATTAATAAATTATACATTCCATTTACTAGTTTTTAAGATGCCATAGTATTCTGATTCATTAGTTTTAAAAAAGGAATGCTTACTACTACAAGGTCATAAACACAAATGTGCACATTGGTCTTTAATAGCAGTGAATTGCAAGGTCTTTTTTTAAAATAAATGAGATATTATATAATATAACATGCAATGTCACACATTAACCAATCAATTAATGAAATGTTCAATAAAATATAACCTCAAGAATATAGTCCATAGACCGATAAGCTTTGTTTATATGGCACCAACTACCTATTAAGAAACTATGTCAAACCTACAAATAGCACAGATAACTGTCTTTATTTTGGGAAAAAATTCAACAGAACAGAAATACATAATTTTTAACAATAGGATTTAATCCTATACTGTTTTGATTTTAGGAAATGTAATAGTAAAGTATAAACAAAATCTGAGCAATATTAAAAATCAAACCAAACTACAAAATTAAAGAAAATGAAACAAATCTATTGAAAATATGTGCATTTGCACATTTATTTA